TTCTCATCTCTGTGGTCATCATGTTTATACTCTGCCTTTTAATCTATACTCTTAAATTAAGGTTTCGTCCCAATGTGCCTCTTGTCTTATTAATTGTAAGCAAATAAAAAAGGACCCACAAAAAAGCTCAGAAGACATAGAAACATTTATTTTGTTGAAAAAAGGGAACATTTTGGGAAACAAGTTGGAATTTTCTTTCTGTGTAAAGGTGTAGCAAAGCATATCATAATAATGCAATAAGGCAAACAGACCCCAAACAGTGTAAAAGCACACAGTTCAGTTTAATACATAAATGTTGAAAAACAAAACTCTTGCACACAATGTGGATTATACTTTGTTGAGTAAGATTACAATAATTACTGTTCGTGAACGCCACAGCTTTGAAAAATAAACAGTATGATTCTTCATTTCTTATATATTTAAGGTAAAAGCAGTTTAATGTGTGCCTGCTTAGCATGTAATAGAGTAAAGAAAACAATATTGGAAATGACCGTTGTTTTTTACCAAGACATTTATTAGGACCCCGAAAGAGACTATTGATCTTCGCATTCAGGTATTGTTTCAAACTGTTTTTGACCTTAACCATTATTTCAGGTGACTAAGCTTCTCTTTAGTTATTCAGCCCATTTAAAGGGAACAAACGTGCCACTGGGTAGTTTGGTATTGTTGTGTCACACTGAACACGAAGCAGAGAAAGAAAAGGTGACGGCTGTCTGTGGAGAAAGAAGACACTCGACATCCATGGCAGCTTCACCCCTGTCTGAACAAAGCTGTTAACGTTATTAAAAAAGTTTAAGGTTCGAGGGAGTGAAACTAACCTACCAGGATGTGGATGCAAGAGAAAATGCAACCCCAAGTTACACCGATAGTGAAGATGGTAGAATGAGAGAACATCCTGAACCATTCTAACTGAATTCCAAAGACTAAAGATGTAACTTTCTGATTTCACCATTGGTTTCATTTGGAACCATAATGGGCATTATGAAAGAAGGCCCAAGAGAGTTCCACTTACTATTGGCAGAAAAACACAAGAAGACCTGAATGCATATTGAGAAGCCCCACAGTTTCTGGAAATTGTGCAGTTTTTTGGCTTTGGTCACATCTGTTGTGTTTTATGGATTAATCTAGAAGGACACCACCAAATCTAACCCATCTGCAGCCGATGTTTGCTCTCCAGCTGAAATTTGGCCCACAGTAATTGTAATGGTCCTTTAGATCCAGCAGATTGGCATGGGGGCACATACTGTGTGCTGTGTGTGGAAGGGCAGTGTCTCGTTGGCTGTACCAGGGTGCTGACTCTGGAGTAAAGGAAGCAGATGTTACGATGCAACACTGTAATCACTGTCAGAAGTGACCTGATGTTGAAGCCAGAGGTAACCGCTGTGTCTCTCCACAACAATTGCAGGAATGGTCCTCTAGCCTTGGTGCAGACATACGTAGACATTATGGTCAACGACTGTAATGCGGAACCGAGACTCAACCAGAACTTTACAACACATGCCATCAGCTTATGCTTCATGACATGTCTCCAAATGCAGCCATCCCTGCTCTGTAGTCAACGACAGCCTACACTAATAACCTGTAATCTGGCTGATGACAGCTGTTAAGACATGATGGCTTGGCGAGGCAAATAGTTCGATATCTGTATCCAGATGGCAGGAGCAAATGTCACTGGATTTTGTACACTTTGGTACACTACAACAGCTGGAACCTTCAAACGTGAGTGTTCTTACTACCCATTTATTCCAACATTGGGCCATTCTGATATTTGCACACCCAAAATTATGGATAGTTGCAGAATATGACCATTCAGTCTTTTACAAATTTGATCCTTGTCAGACTCCATCGGGGGCTAGTATTGCTACGAGGCATCCTTTGCGTCTGATGACCTTCACTTGCTGTTCTGACTGACTTTTAGATGCTCTGGCTCAGGGATGTCCAATCCTGGTCCTCGAGGGCCACTATCCTACGTGTTTTAAAGGTTTCTCTGCTCCAACACACGACTTCAATCAATGAATGATTGACGGGTTTCTGTAAAACATGGAGCAGTGTGTTGGAGCAGGGAGGTAAAACACGCAGGATGATGAACCTGCAGAACCAGGATTGGACACTTCTACTCCAGCAACTGCCTGATAACATTACTACTCTACTTGCGATGCCACATTAAGAGCTCACCAGTGGTCGTTCTAGACTCGTGAGCTCTTTAAAACCAAACCACTGATGTACGTCGCTGGTCTGCATACCAACCAAATCACGTCTAAATTGTATCATTTGTTCTGCGAGCCTAACTTTATTTTGTCAGTGAGTGCAACAGACAGTTATATTCATGTACTCATAATTTTAGCATGAATTTCCATCAGTAAAGTTACATTTATAGAGTCTTTGTGTTTTGTTTCAGTCAGAAAGCAAACTAAAATGAAAATTCATTCAAATTACAATAGAATTTTTATATTTTTTTCACAAAACTCCAAAAATTCTTAGAAATCTATAAATTGAGACATATTCCATACTCTTACATAGATAAAATCAGAGGAATTTCTCTTTTCATCTGCCTGAATTTGAAAAAAAGAAAACTTAGAAACACTGATTCAGTCAGAAGACGCAACAAACACCCTGTTTGATTATAATTTACCAGAAGAGTCATCAAAACTAAACAACAAGCCTTTTCTAGCAGGAGGACTCTCAGATGACTGCAGGGAGCACAAAACTGCTCAAAACTTCCCTTATCGCCTTCGTCATTCTGGTACTAGTTTCTATTACTATTAAAGAACTAGTGCGGATAGAAAAACCGTTAGCCCTCGTGCACTGGGAGCTGGAGGGGGGTTTACGTTTCCAGTCTCGCCTAACATCAGACAGAGGGAGTGGAAACAAAAGTGAAACTAAAACTATACTGACAACGAGAAGTTTTTTTTAAACTCTTCCTTTAAAACAATCCATGTGACTCAACCATCAGTCAAATGTTCCAGTTCACCTGCAGCTTCATGTGTGGGAACAATTGATAAAGAAAAACAAATCTAAAGTTTCACTAAAGGAGAGACAGAGGGACTTCTGTGGCTTATTTTATCTTTTCTTAGACAAGTAGATGAACAAATGCATCCGATATGACGAGCACTACTTTTAGAAAACCACAGAAACTCAATGATCAGGACATTCCTCTGCTGGCAAAGGAAGCCCATAATGTACATTTAATGCAATTTAAACACACAAGCCCCGTCTACATCATTCTGAGTAGCTTTTAAAACAAATGGTTTGCACCTCCTGTCCACACACAAACTGACTTTTTGCTTTAAAACAAATATGTTTTACAAAGCTTTTTCTAAAGTGGAGATTTTTAAAATGTTCATTGTCTGTGTAGAGAGGAGATATGGATATTTTCAGAAAAAAACTAATGTAGTAACTTCACCTC